TAAAATATTTACCTGGTGATAATTTGTCAGTTTTGCATGTAAACTGTGCATGTTATTTGCATATGCGTACTATCATCGTTATTATTCTCACGTTTCCCACAGGCTGTGATCCAGAGTGAAGAATAATTTGCGCACGCAACAAACTTTGGAACGGGTAAATCAGCTGTAAACAGAAAACAAATTGTTGGAGGAGAAGATTAAAATGCTTACCAAGGAACTTGGGTTTCTGAAGGATGTCTTTATTGCTCATGCAGGTATCGTTAGAACAAATTGTTAAGTCTTCTGATCTCTTACAACGCGTTTGCAATCTATTATCATTACTTCCATCGTTACCTTGTGTTTTTTTATCTCTGATCTAAGTAATATTTATTATTTGTTTAAAACACATATTTATATTTTATATTAGAGGAGTATGTAACCCATTACGTTATTTTATTTTTAGGAGGTTCCAGTCAACACTCCATAAACATCCAAGATGCGAAGAGTGTTTTTCGAACGCAACCCTTTGAAGCAGCATCGTACAATCTGATCGTGAATTCAATCATCGTGAATTCAATTCAATCATCGTAAGTTTATATAAATTCTAGCTTATATCTTAGTTTTCCAAAGGGATACCAATATTTTTTTTTAAATATCGTTGAAATATCGTTAGTTTGCGAATGTTTTGATCGTAAAATAAAATTTTAGGTAAAAATTCGTTACAGACTTAATTATAAGAATTACTAGGTGCCACTGTAATCAGTAAACTTGCTAGTCTATGATTAGTGACTATATTTTTTGAAACATGTTATTCAACATTATGTTTGCAACTATCGACATGTCAATTATAAAGGAATCTCAAATTTAATGTGATTATAATTAAATGTTAAATAAATAAAAAGTTTAGCTTATAACTGTCACATAAAATGTTGCTCTTTTTTTTCTTCCATAACTAATAATTTTATAAATCTAACTAATCAAAAATAAACTGCATTTATGAAATAATAAATATGATTATCGATTTTTTTATCAGTATTTTTATTATCTAGTAACATTCTAGTATTATAGAAAATTATTAAGATCCACAATCCATAATCTGAAAAATAACGTACATTACGTACTCAAAAACGAAAAATATATATACATAAGAAATCTAGAGAAATAAATATTAAGTTATATAATTTGATCGTGCTCTGCAAATAAGTTAAAGAACATTAAAAACTAATGTGATAAGTTAAAGAACATTAATTATTAAAATCTAATGTGATAGCGGTAGGATGTGTTTTCTAGATCAGGCCTTAGTCGAAATAGAATGAAAAAATTTGCTTTAGTGCAGATATTTGAAAGAAAATTTTGGTCTCGGAACAGATCAAGAGGTATTAAAAATTTTTTATCCGTACATACAAACACGAGGAGAGTGATTTGTGACCATCAAATAACAGAAGATATAAGACTTTTATCTTGTTTTATTAACAATAAATATTCTGATTTTTCAATGAAAAATTCCAAGCCTTATGCAAGTGTATGAAAGTAGAATTTATTGTTTTATAATAAATATGACGTATGTATAAAAGCAGGAAATAATTCATTCGATGCGACGTCTATGGTGGGAATTTGCTTTCCGAAACTAATCGTGTAATGGAAAATATCTCTGTGCGAGTAAATTCGATGCGCGTTGATTCTTCATAAACACGCGAATGATTCAAGTTTCAAGACGTATAGTGATCGCATGGTTGCATGTCTTTACATCCAAAAGGAGTTCGCCATTTATTCAAGATAATTATTCGCCGGTCATCATCTCCATAAACTCTGAAAAAAAAAAAAAAAGAATTTATTACAGTATTTATTTCGCAGCAAAACAAGTTCATTTTGTTTAATTAGAAATTTAAACGCAATAAATTTTCTTCTTTCGCACAAGCACTTAACTAGATCGTCAAATTACAGTTCGTTTGTAGGAAAGTCTCATTTAATTTCTTGCAAGAAATATAAATTAGCACTAAGATTAAGGATCTAATTTCACATTTAATTTACTGCTAAACTTATTAGTCCACCTGTTCCTTCAAGGGTTACATTTTAATATTTCTGAATATCGCATGCGAAATTCATTGGAAATTGGAACGGACGTGTGATTTTGATGAATCGCGGCGATTTGTTAAGTACGAATATAAAAATAGGTATAGAGTCGCGGGATCAGTGGCATCCTCGATCTGCCAGCTCGCCCGCATATAAATAAACCGCTTGGCTCTCCCCTGTTCAACTTGCGTGACGTTGATATACATCGACACATGCTGATTCGTCATAAGATTGAATTTCTTTCATTTTATGTATTCACAACTATGTATTTGACGAACAATTTTATCGAAGAAGATAATTTCTTTATGATGTTCTTTTGATACTCTGCCAGTTTCAATATTTTCTATAATATTGAAACTGGCAGAGTATCAAAAGAACAATGCCTTCATAAAGAAATTATCTTCTTCAATAAAATTGTTCTGAAATATTTTATATGTTTATCTCACTTTCTTGTAAGTTGAATCGCAATTTATTGGACGCCATACGCTTCGGGAGTGAAGGAGGAGAAAAAAAAAAATTAAAAACGTACCGTCAAAATCAACTGTACCGGAGCCATCAGAGTCGATTTCCTCGATCATCATGTCCAATTCTTCTTTCGTCAGTTGATCGTCCAATTCCCTTAGGATTTCGCGTAGGCATGTCGTTGGGATGTAGCCGTTACCTGGTAACAGAGTGCAGAGAATCGCAGGCTTGAATAACATTTAAATGGCGTATGCGGGACAATTATATGGATTGTCATTCGCGCAGTATTTTTTAGCGATAAGATTGGTACAAATCCCGCCTTTCTTTTCGTATTCGTGAATCCAAGAATATTTGTTACTTCACTTCATCATTTGTATATCCTTAAGAATCTATTTTGGCGTGTAGTACTCATCGCCCTTTCACTTGACACAAACCGTACAATTTATCCGCTCGGCGATGTTTATCTTCTCGATCGTTAAAATACGTACGCTACATCCTCGACAAAATCGTAATTCGTGAAAGATGTGTTACAGAATCGCTTGAGTAACACTTAAGTGACACATGTGGGACAATTACGGCTGATTCAATTCGCGCAGTTTTTTTCGACGATAAAATTGACACAACACCGTCTCTCTTTTCGCATTCGCGAGAATCTAAGAATACTGCTACTTCGCTTCATCCTTTGTATATCCCTAAGAATCTATTTTGGCGCGTAATACTCATCTCCCTTTCACTTGACACAAATAGTAATTGCAAAATTTATCCGCTCCGCGATATTTATCTTCTCTGTGCCAGCCACTGTTAAAATACATACGCTACACCCTCGACATAATCGTAATTCATGAAAGATATGTTACGACATTCTTGGCTCTCCGCCGCCACGTGAGCTTCCCTCCGTTGGGAATCTCCGGCTTATTTTTACGTTTCGCGTATAACGAAACTGATGCGAACTTAATGCGCCTGTTTGTACAAACGTATTCTGAGATTTCCTCGTCGCATATCTCACGCTTGTCACGCCAAGTCTTACCACGCTATAAAGCTGATCTGCTTCGCGAAATAAAATATCTATATCACCTTATATATCCTTATTTTAGGAAACTACCGTTGCATATAAAAGAGGAAGGTGAGAAAAGCCGGAAAAATATAACTTGAGTTTAAAAGATTCTATCTTAAAAAAGAAAACACAAAAAAGTTGGTGAAATAAATCTCGAAAAAGTTTGAAGCACAGTACACAATAATTTACCGCGATATCGAAAGGATGATTTCATTATTTCCATGATGTGTAGGAGTTTAGATTGAACGTATTAAACAATATTAAAAGCCAAACTCGAACTATTACACTGAAAATTAGAATTAAAATATTAGAAAACTGTTTCAAATTAATGTCATAATAGATAAACGATAATGTAACGTAGTGTGTGATATGCTTGCACAACTTATGACAAGACATGTCATTTTCACATCCTAAACATTGATTGTCGCTTTTGAAACATAATCGCCTCTATACATAATTTGTATTTATAAAAAATAGTCGCTATTATCGAAGTAAAGTGATTGTTAGTCATGCCTTCACTTGAAGGCTCCACTTGAATCTCACTAAATAACGAGCTTTATACGATAAATTGTTTTACGAGACTTGTCATTACCTTCCTTGTCGTAAAGCCTGAAGGCTTCTCGTAGCTCTTTTTCCAGCGCTTCCGCGTCCTCCTCAACAATAAATTTCGCTGCCAACGTGACGAATTCGTCAAATTCGAGCCGCCCAGATTCTGCAAGCGAAGTATTGTGTGCAAAAGTGTTCAGCGAATTCTATAAATAAGATTAACTGAGGTGCGTTACGGTAAATTAAATTGCGTGACATTTGACAACAACTCGGTGGAGACCGATCGTGTGCACAATGTCTGTAAACACTTCAGAAATAGACAGATAAACAAGTCATTGTTATGCTTGGTCAGTGAATATTCCTTAAATAAGCTGCGAAATCCGTCGTGCGTGTCACAACGCACGATAATAACAATTAATTAATACGACTAATGATATTTACTGTCGGCGTCAACCTCGTCGATGAGCTCGTCCAAGATTTTCTTGTTGAACGGCTGTCCCATTAGCCGAAGGATATCGGCCACCATTTCAGTGGGTATGCTGCCGGTTTTTCCACTGTCGAAGCTATCGAAAGCTTTGCGCAGAACTGAAAAAAAATCACGTTTTTTTTTGCATTAAAAATATGCTCTCGATATTCGAATCCCGCGAATTCAAAATCCGAAGAAGATCACAGATGCGAAAGAAAACGAACAGTAATCTATCTCTCTTAAAAAGTAATCTACAAGATACACAGTAAATAATATTTATACAGTAAATAAAATTCGCGGCAAAATGGGCTTAAATTCGGGACAAAAAATTGGAACAAAAAATTTTGCTTGATTCGCAAAAAATAAGAAGACTTTTGTTAAATTTTGTTTTTGTTTAGTATAGTTCTTCTTTTAATTATTGAACGGAATTTAATGATTTGCAAAAAAAAAACGTTTCTTGAAAAAAAAAAAAAGATTTTCCTCTCCTTTCTGGGCGGTTCCCTCTGCAGCTAGTTTCGCTAACAATAAGTCATCCGGTTAAAGACATTAAACGCCGGGGCGATACGGATTTAGACCGTATGTTAACGTCCCTTCCGGGACGGCTGGCGCTGAGCTTATTTGGCCTGATACGCCATCGGATCGCCGCGCCGATGGCTTACGCGATATTTATTTATCGTTACTTTTATTTGGTAAGAAACCGCGCGCGATTACACGGTTCACGCCTGCGAACCACACGTGTCCTCCGATCTTACGACATTCCAGAGGAATCTAAATTGCACTTAATTTAATTCGATTTAACTGCTCCGATTTAACGCGCGATCCAGATTTCGGGGAGTTCTTGACATGTTACCGGTATCGTATTACCGTACGGTATATCTTCCTACTCCAGGCTTCCTTATTTTTAACTCTAACGTGAAATTATTCGGCGATAGGCCAACTCCTGTGTAGCAATCGTGAGGAATATTAATGCATATGCAATATATATTAATATCTAATTTAATGTGTATTGAAACATCGTGCAACCTACATAATTATCGTTCTTTTCCTATGTGTATACATGTGTGCACGTGCGTATACGTGTACACGTGCAAGCGCGTGCGCGCGCGCGTGTATGTGTGTATAGAAATAGAAATATTATGTTATATTGTCATATTAAATCATATTATTTTCATATTATATTTTTCATCTATATTAATGTACATAATAAATTCCTATTTCTATATACATACATACACATTTTTGAATTGATATACATATGTATTTTTTGTGATGTATCGTAATGTAAAGTTTTTGGAACGGTCGCTCATGGTCGCATTTACGCGGTCAGTTAATCCTGTTATCAGCGAAGCGTGAGAAAAACTACGTCTTTGGTATATTTTCGGTACGGCTTCCCGAAGAACCGTATCTCGTTCGTGGGCTATATTCGTAACGCGCGGGGGTTACGTCTCGAATGTTCCGCGTATTACTGCGTCTCGATTCAGGCGACGGGAGGCTGGCGCGCGATTCCAGGCGTTCGTCTTAAGATCGTGCGCGAGAGCGCGGATGTGGATCCGGCGATCGCAAACGGTTGGAAAAAACGCGAGGCCTATCTCTCCTTGCCCCGGCGATACTTTTTTCTCTTTCTTCGTTTTTTTTTCTTCCCTTCTATTTTCATTTTGATATATTCGTAAGAATCGATCGTCGTCGTCGTCATCGTCGTCGTCGTCGTCGTCGTCGTCGTCGCCGCTGGTTTTTCATTCCGTTCTGCGTAGCTATACATAGCCGCGCTCTCCGCAGCTGCCCCCGATCGGATCAAACGCGTAAATAAACTCGGCGAAAGCAATGAAAATTTATCCGTGCTCAACGCTCGATTGCCACGTTTGTAAGGGGGCTCTATTTTTAATCCCGGGTACAAGCCATGCTCCGTTGCGATATCAAAAATAATCTGTATCAGCATATTTCCTTTGTTGCGAAAATTGCAATTTAAATATTGCATTCAGTAATTGTGGTCTATGTATATATATTCCTCATATATTTTAGCGGATATCGAAATTAACGATATTATTAAATGATAGAACTGTATCTTTTAACATGAGAGACCAAAGACGTTAATAACGTGTCGTGATAAATGTAAAATAGTTTCTAAAATCTTTAACGCGCGCGTAACATTTTACTGTTTTAAATTCTGAACGACATATATGGAGACTGTGGATTTATGTCTATTTGTTCTTGGCTATTACGTATCACCTTTGTTTATTCCCTGGATTTTCGTGGAATATGAGAGTATCTATTTCTGCATTATAGCAACTGGCAGCGAGATCAATAGATCCGATATCTTTCGGACGTTTCGTTGTCTGATTTTATAAATATTTGATTTTCGAGATAACTTACGTGAAAAGTTAAAAAAGACTGTTAAAAAATCAATAATTAAAAAAGAGAATATACCTATAATATTTGGGTAAAGTCACTTGTTATTTTTTGCTATCGCTTATTATTAATCAAACTAATTTAGAATTATTGTCGCGATTTTATTGAAAATTTTGTTAGAAATTTTGTTAGAAATTTAACAAATTGTTTTGAATTTAGATACATACCGGCAATTTGTTCCGGCGGTAGCTCGTCAGCCTGCAAATCGCAAAAATTACGATAAAGATGCGAATTACAATTATCAATAAACATAAAATGTATTTTTTTAAATATTCCATTTTCGAAAATTCTTATAAGTCTTATCAATTATAACTATCACACACAAATTGTTAAAGATTTCAAATGAATTTCATATCGAACATCGAAAATCTTTATCATTCTTTTTTCTCAATCGTAACCATTACACACAAATTATTAAAGATTTAAAATGAATGTATCACGTTCAGTTAAAAGTTGCTAGTTAGCTTTTGGAAGAAACATTCGTGCACTGTTAAGATACATTCAACAAGTTCTGTTCTTTAAAGTCTCCGTTAAACCATCGAGTTTATTTTGACGTTTAAATTATGTACGTGTGAATACAAACTATTTCGTGATTTTTCTCAAATTATAATAGATAAACTTTACACAAGATATAATTTTCATGCGTGCAATTCCGAGCATGCTACATATGAACTAAAAAATTGAATGTTTTCGATAGTGAAAATAATTATAATTAAGATTTATAAAAAATTGAGATTATTCAAATGTGTATGTATATAATATTTCATTGTGAATTGAAATTCATTGTATTTGAATCATGAATGTAAATTCATTGTATTTAGCTAAATATAGATATCGTAATTGATCAATTAATTTTTATATAAATAAAAATATATATTATAGTATATATATATGCATATATATATGTACACACACACACAAATGTATATATACTCATAAAGAAATTAATTTAATGACAATATTCACAATTTTTAATGATTTTATAATGACAATATGACTCATATTATTGAATAACCCTTGTTCCACACGCACGTTTATCGAAAAGTCTCAATCACTCTACTCAACCATTACAATTCATGAATTAAAATAAACTTCTTCCGACCGCCGCTTTAAATGATAAGTTGCAACGTAGCAGCCGCGAAAAAAAATACATCAATTGTTGTTTCGATCAATGTTCTACCGTGTAAAATATATGTATATTTAAGGTAACAAAACACATTATATTTTCGGAGATAAGACCTCGCGGTTTTAAAGAGGCGGTCGTATCGATATTCGCCGTTTAAGAAACAATCACGTTTTTCCAGAATCTCGTCCATCGCCGCTCCACGATACATCTCTCTCAGCGAGTTGATCGGTTAAACACATTTTATCTAGGCGCGCTAGAAAATCCGAGCATGATATACACTGTTAATCGCTAATGCGTCACGATGCATAAAAAATAAAACAAAAAGAGGTGCACAAACGAGATCTTATAGAGACAGATTAGAAACATGGAAGTGTGATCTACAATTAAATGCCCAGACGGCACGTGCAAATATAATTTTTATCGATATTGAAAAAGATAAAAAGACAGAGATAAAAGGATAGAGATAAATACAAAGGAAAGGAGAGAGAGAGAGAGAGAGAGAGAGAGAGACTCGAGCACGGTTAAAAAATACAACAAATAACTAAGTAAATAGGAAAACGTGTGTGTTTACCAGGGCGACGACTTACAATATCATCGATAGAACATACCATGGTGGCGGCGCGAAATTTGACTGTTTTCTTTTCTTTTTTTTTTTACTCTACTTAAGACACCGAGGTGCGTGCGTGTACTTGACCGGTCTCAAACCGAGTCTCGCAGCTGCGCGGCTCTCGCTTTGTCGCGTCCGAATGGGGGATTTGTGAACGTGAAACGCGTGGATATCCGCGAATTAACCCGAGTCCTCGTCGCCGATTTGACTACGCACTGCCACGAGGCGATCTAACGCCGCGGTAATATTCGAATGGGACGATATAGCGGTTGCGTGACAGCGCGCGGACCGCGCCCCGGCCTCTCGCTCCAGCCAATCGTCGAGGGCGCGTTCGCTGCCTCTTTAGCGGGACTTCGTAGCCTGCACCTCCGGGAAGGCGCTTGCGCTATTTCTGGGACCTGGTGTATCAGACCGCGAGAGAGCGGTCTCGAGGCGGTCTCCTCCTCGTCTCGTGTTCGCCCGCGGGATCCGGTAACGCCGCGCGCCGCGCCGGCGAGGAGACTCTGACGCACCGGAACGGACCTGACCGTTGTTTCGCGTCGATATTATTTTTAATTCCGAGAACACACGCTCCTTCGGCGTGGAGGCAAGGCTATAAAAGAGAAAGGAGACAGAGAGCGAGAAATTTAATTCGGGAAGAGAGGCTTGAGATTTTTGAAAGAAAATTTTTATCTCGAAAAAGTGACATTTGACATCGAAATGATTTACGCGAGCGGTACCGATGAATAATAAGTAAGATAAAAATGAAACGGAATAAAAAGTCCGGGCGAGTTTTGTTTATGACAATAAATTGCTGTCAAGAGACCGCTGGTATTTGAGACACGGTGCTCTAAGGAGTTTTTATTAGATTCTCGTATTCGCGCGATTACAACCGTTCCTGCGCGCGGACGGTGGCGTTATACTGCGGCGGTACGAAAATAGAGAATGAAAATCCCGCGGTTGGAGTAAGCGACAGTAAAACGTCGGTACGTATGGCGTGCCGGACGAATCGATGTCACACTCGCTTTGGAATCGAGACAAAAAGCTTTGCAACAATAGAAGCGAAAGTGACCCCGAGACGGCACGATGAATAGCCGCAACGAGTTAAATCCTTCTCGCAAAAAATAAAAAATTATAACCGAGTAACGAATTCTTGAAGCCGGAGAGTGCAATCGCCAAAGGATGCTGATTAGAATATTTCACTTCCTTTCAGAGAAATAAAAATAATTAAATGGCTTGCTGCAACAATGCTTAACTCGTAACTCGCATAGCCGAATGTGTGATACTGGTCAAAATAGATGTATTTTCCCACTTTAATTTTAGAGTTCATTTTCTTCATTTTCATAAAATGTTTAGTCCATTTTATGCTGTTACAGCAAGTCCTTCAATTATGCTTCCGAGTCTCATTAGCATCAACGTGAAGAAATTCCGGCTTCCCTATAAAAAATGCATTAGAACATATGTTTTTCGATTACGCGGCTGCTGCGAGTTAAATCTTTCTCACGAAAAGAATAATCATGATAACAAATTCCTTTAAGCCAAAGGATGCAAATTTTTTTCAATGAATTGTAATTCTTCGGGGGAAAAAAAGATAATTGTGCTTTCGAATCGGTTTCGAATATTAAGCGTTTGTAAATTCAGATATCTTACTATTAAACAAAAAAAACATTGAGATGTGTGTTTTTCAGTAGGATACGCATGTTCTTAGACAAGCATCTTCGCGTACGTATGCCAGGCAGATCTTTCCGGATATCGCGACACATGGCGAGGATGAAGGATGGGACGCGAGGGCACGAATGGACGTTTGCCAGGCGAGAACTCCTCTGCGCGCGGACAGTGCTCTGCGCGAAAACAATAAACAACCATCCTGTATCTGAAATAAACTGAAGAACGATCATTTATCGTCTCTCTCTTTTTTTTTAGGATACCGCTACAAGTCATGACAGATCGAAAGTTATATGCGGCTTGCGTTACCTTCGCACTAAATACACATACTCCACGAGTATAATTATTCGCTTCTCGAGACAAAAACAATAATGTTTATTTGCTGCGAAAGTGGCCCGCTTCGGTGCATTTCGATACGTTTAGTCACTTTATCTCACCGGGCACGTGTACGCGACGTTGGCAAAACCAGAATCTGCTCTCTACCGCTCTCTTCTGCGGAATTCCGACGATCTACTTACGTAGTAGACTCAAATTTCCGGTCTAAGGAAAAATGAAGTTAAAATAAAACAATTATTTTTGTTAGTGAAAATCGACAGCGTGAAAAGTTCAAACTAGCAACATAAGAAATGCCAAATACGGTCTAAAGCACGTGAATAAAGTTAGCACCCCAACATTAAAATTCCATAGTCCTGATTAGAGTTTTCGCTTCCTGAATGTATATTGATAATAGTTAACTTCTAAATTCCAGTTAACTTAATTGGCGTAATCGAATTAATATTCAACCAGCAGAATTGCTTAAAACACAATTCTTTTCTCTTCTTAATCTCTTTATTTAACAAAATATTGATAATTTAATATTCATGTTAACGAAATTACAGATATTATTTGATAAGTGAATTATTGATTAAATTAATTCGAATTCGATTAAAGATCTAATTGTCTATATACGTATTTATTAATCGAGAGTCAAGAGAGTTAATAGTTTATAATTGATGTCCATTTAACGAATATTCGACAAATAGATTTTGACGGAATTACTGATGGACGCATTCCCGATTTCATAAAGCGCTCGCTCTTGGATGCGCATTTGAGAGATATTTGCGCTCTCAACAAGTTGGGTCATTCCAGTTTCAGATCGCCGCGTTATTAGTTTTTGAATCTGACATCGTGACATAAATCAGCTTCCTGGCACATCTCAGCTACGCGACACCTGTTTCCCTCGCGTAATCACCGAGATTCTGATCCGACTAATATACTCGCGATCACGTGCAGCTTTTATATATGCGAATGATAAATCGCGCTTTTTCAGCCTTGGTCAAGGTTTCCTTTTTTTTTGAGCTTAAGTATGGCTTACTACTCTATTATTTTTTATTAATAGGAACATATATTCTGATCGAAGATACACGTTTTGGAAATTAAATAAAGTGTCTTGATTAATAAAAATTGACGTTGTCGGTTGGTGAATTGGAAATTTATTCATCAATCTTTAAAAAAGTCTAACCAATCAAATAATATAAGTATTTTATTGAAAATGTCTTTTTATGTGTGCGCGAAGGTCCTAATAAGCCTAATCCTAATAAGCCTTTAATATAATTATAGATTTTGAGGGTAATTGCCCGTGTCTCGTAACGTACAAATATTCGCAAGATATTTATTTTTTATTATATTTTCAATTCTTTTTATTGTTGTTTTTGTAAGAATCTCATTAATCATTATAAAAAGAGCACATCGAAATGCGAAAAATCATTTAGTCAATTTCTTAACTCGAATATATAGAATCCATAAATTTGCAAAAAAATCGTTTCCACTAATCCTTTTTTCAAATCCCATTTTTCACGTAAACTAATTTACTTTTCTTGAAAATATAAGAGCACGCAGTAAGTCCGGCACGAATAATACTAAATTTTACCATTCAACGTTTGTGCAAAGATAAGATTGTGTTAAGTGAGTGTGTAATGTGGGTCGAAGGAAAATATATATGTCACATACTATTTATACATATCTACGTATATCTAGACAATAGAGATAAAAATTTGTGCAATTCATCGAATGATGAGCGGCAAAAGTGCGGGTAAAAATAACTGACGATGTGCATTTATAATCAGAAAATTTTACATAGATCACATTTGTTCGCCATCCCTTCTCTCTGTCTGTTTCTAATTAATTCACTACAATTTCCACATAAATTGAATACGCATTATATGCCTGTAGAATGCGATAGATGATTTATTATTAGTAAACATTCCAAAAGTACATATATCGTTATTAATCGCTAATTTGCGGCATTTAATGAATATAAATATATCGTCTGCACTACATGCGCAATATAATATCTATATGCAGACTGTATAAATTCTTTTTGAACTTTCTCTGTGCTATTAATAGATACTTGGTCGAAGTGTAACTTGCATGGTTATTGGTTAGTAAAGAGTTAAATTAATCGATGTTTAGTCAAAGTCACTCTAATTGAATAACATTATGTTCTTTAATAAAACGCAGATTCCTCGTCTTGTGATTTGAAAAGGAGCAACAATCGATTAACGCGAGTATCGATTGCAAAGATAAGAACGGTAAGTCGACAGGTCGATTAGTCGATGTGTCAGATATACATTGCTACTAATAATTGACACGACGTGGTTAAGTATTTTGACGTTTCGTGACGATATTTCGCTTGCACGCCCCGTATTTCGCGTTTGTACGCGCGACTATCGTCGACTGCAATCGCCCGCGATTCGCAAAGCAGCGTCTGCAAACAGCTGGTGGGAGATGCCGGGAACTCCGATGGAGCAGGACGGCAACGTGCTGGGGAAGCTGCAGAGCGAACGGTCGCAAGACGAACCGAAGTGCGAGTCCGTCGTGCGAGAGATCACGCAGACCGATCGGCTGAATAAGAAGTTGCTCGTGTCGGTCTTGGAGCGTATGAAGAAGTCGGACGGGCAGTTCGACAAGTTTATGGAGGACGGGAAGGGAAGCGGCGAGTCGCACGACGACAGCGACGATTTTTAGGACGGCCTGTTGTCTCTCAGCGCCTAAGTGAGTCTAACCTGTACTTTCAGTTATCGCTTAATCGTTTTGAGATTTAACAGCTTCGTATGAAAAACTGTCGTGTCGATTTTATCGCGATAAAAAGAAAAAGATTATTTTCTGGATTTTAAAGATAAAGTCGGATTAGGTTAAAGCAGTGGTCGACATAATATGCGACTTTCGGCCTGATTTTTGGGTCCTACTATTCTCTCCTTGCTATTCACATTTCGAAAATTGGATCCGAAGGTGCATTTGATGCCGACCACTGGTTTAAAGAATGTTACTGCAAGTCTGAGATTTTCCCCCTCACAGTTCGACAGCTACAATTACTAATCTAACTGAATCTTTTCAGGAATCCGCCTAAGCGGTGATCAAATCTTATCGATAGATACCTCATATCATCATGGCGGATGTTCCGGATTACGAGGGTGACGACGAGATCATAGAGCATTACGAGAATCAAGAATCCGACGACGAGCGTGGTAGTCACGGGGGAGCGGAGGATGCGACTTCCGACAACGAGACGGGAACCGCGCGGAGGATTGATCCATCCAAGTCGAAGTCGCATGTAGTGAGAAACCCTGCGCCCAAACTCAACACCGAGAGATTGAAGGGCCCCAATGGTGTCCAAACCATCGAGAAGTATTTCGAAGGCTTCAAGTTCTACGGCAAGGGACACGAGAGAACGGACCTCGACAGAATCATGAAGAGGCTGGAACATTGGTCCCACCGATTATTTCCCAAGTACCATTTCGATGATTTTCTCACGAGAGTCGAGCAATTGGGGACGAAGAAGGATTTGCAGGTGTTCGTCAAGAAATATCGGTTGGATATGATTACCTCGGACAATAATTTGATCACCGACGACAACATGGATAGGGACGACGAGGACGAGCAGGAGGAGAGCGCGCCTATGGATGACTTCGATTTGCTGATAACGGAACAAATTCAAAAGCAAAAGCAAGCTGAAACGCGAGCTTCCGTTGTTACTTCAAACGATGAAGCGTTCGACAGGCTCTTAACGCAGTCTGCTGCTACGCAAAATTCACAAGTATCGCATACAGATACTACCACTACAGATACAGTTACTAACGAATTCAATGACGAAGTGAAACAAAGAATCGAGAGGAACAAGCAACTGGCCATTCAGAGAAGACTCCAAAAGCAGAGAGAGCGTGAGGAAGAAGTTAAGAGAGCGAAGTTGATCGATGACACGAATGCGGAAGCTCTGAACGAAAGCGATAATCTTGCAGTCCATGCCGAGACGGATGTATCCCAGGTGGACGGCATGCGATCGCAAATTAACGAAAATACAAATGAGGCAACCGTTAATGAGTCACGAGACGATGTCAATCAAAATGAGGAGCCAGTGAATGAAACATCCCATATTTAAGTGAAATACATCTTACGATAATTTATTAAGTTTTTACTGTCCATAGGAGACATCATATAGACGCATCTATCATAAAGTATAAAAATTGTCTCATTAGAATGTCTCACTAGAATTATCATATACTTAGAAGTAAACCAATATGTAGTTCTTTAGAGGTATATGTAAAGATGAATTTTTTAAAATGCTTATTAAATAAACAGTTAGTTTTTATTTATTTATATGTCTCGATTAAGTCCTGCGCTTCTGTGTACTAATGTACAGCACATTGTTCCCCCGTATAAAGGCATCCCCGTATTTGTCCTTCAATTGTCCGTTAACATACTCCTCTGTTTGTTCAAGCGCTATGTTCATGTAACCATCTATACAAGCTAGTACACCTGCAAACAATACATTGTATTAGGATATAGTGTTGAAAAAAAAAACCAAGGTTCAACAATACGAGTAATACATTCTACACTGATTGAATTAAAAACAATATTCAATTGATATAAATGAAAGCAATGATTCTATGAGACATTCTTGATTTTTTTAATACAGACAACTTGGTAAACGTTAATACATATAAATGTTGTAAGCAAGTATTAATACACGTCAACATTGTGTGCAAACGTAAATAGCTACCTCTGTAATCGACACCACTGTTCAGTTTTACGACGACGGGCCGTCCATGAATTTGTTGTATAAATTGAGATAACGCTTCCTTCCGGCTCATCTGTCGATGTGTAAACATACAACATTTAATGTTGAAGAAATTGCGCATTAAAGAAGAATGAGTATGCAGTTGTATGTAGATCGTCACATTGTTTACATGCCGCGACGTTTAATAATTTTTCATGAATAAGACACGAGTGCAATTGTCACCAACATTCTGCGTACCTTTGTATACTGAATAATACAGATAACCGGTCTTTTTGTAGATCGTCTCAGTTCTAAACAATGTCAACCTAACCTCTTTGAACTACGGCACCAGAATGAAGCGTGAGAAAGGGCCACACCGGCTTTTTGGGTGGGACCGACGATCTCTCCGTAGCGCCCCACGTCCACGTTTTTAAAAAAGAAACTACGCACCACGTCTTATAACATAGTCGATCATAACATTAGAACGTGGTTCGTGTCCGTGCTAATCGTGTATTATACATACGTATATGTCACATTCTTCTTTCTTTTTCTTTCTATTTCTCGCAAAACTTCATATTACATAAATTAATTATATATATTTTTTTAATTAAGGATTTTAATACAAGTACGTATTGAATGTTATATGTTAAAGCCGCAGATATCATATGTATAATAAGTATCGTCTTTAATATAATATGCAATGTAACATATCGTTAGAATGAACAAAGGGAAAGATTTGTCATAATATAGTGAATCATAATATAGTTTACTGATTAAATATTCTTACACGGCTGTGTGTTATCCAGGGGTCGGATGTATTTATAATATCATTATTTAAAATATGTATTTTAAATAAAAAAGTAAAAGAATTATTTAGTATTTATTATTCTATAATAGCTTCTTCTAATCTATTTTTTATTTAATATTTTAAATACATTTTTGGAAAATATATTTTATATTTCTCATATTAAATAAGTTGTATGAATTTTTTTACTGGCCGCTGCGATATTTTATTTTAAATAAGTTTCTGAAATTTATTTTATATTTGTTATTTTAAATAAGTTGTGTCAGTTATTTACCAACCCCTGGACTGTTTCTATTTAAATTATCACACCAAGCGAGAGAAATCGGCTAAGGGTAATTTAAGCGATCAAATTATATTTTACAGTTCAGTTAATTACGGAATTGTTTTGTCCATTTCGCGTATCAAATTATCTGTTAGATTACCGTAATGTGTATCAGAAGTTTGTAATAATTAACAGCAAGCAATTACGATTTTTTATCCTAGCCGTACAACGGAGAAAAAGAGGAACCCATCGATTTCTCTCTCGTTCAAAATTAAATTATATGTATAATAAGTCATGTGTGAGTCTCTGTTTCTACGGTATTGTCGCTGTCTCTTATACACATCTC